AAATATAACAAAGAAATATATTATCATAATAAAATTGGTTAGAAGCAATGACAAATATTAACCGAATGTTATATGCACTAAATGCAGTGTTATTAAGTCAGAATACAGCATGCAGGAGAAATGCCCATAATAAATGTTAAGACAAGAGCTAGATGAATACAGCATTGCCATTAATGTCTTATAACGTGTGACGTATTTCAGTCGCACGCTGTAACATGGAATAACTGAGACCATCCATTTATATATACGAAGCTGACGTACAATGATAGTTCTGGGTTATCAGTAGTTTGCCCGGATTAATGTTTGTTTTGTTTGTTTGTTTGTGTTTTACGGTATATCAACCTCGTTGGGTTATTTAATGTCAATAATAGATTAATGTTTGTTTTGTTTGTTTGTTTGTGTTTTACGGCATATCAACCTCGTTGGGTTATTTAATGTCAATAATAGATTAATGTTTGTTTTGTTTGTTTGTTTGTGTTTTACGGCATATCAACCTCGTTGGGTTATTTAATGTCAATAATAGATTAATGTTTGTTTTGTTTGTTTGTCTGTGTTTTACGGAATATCAACCTCGTTGTGTTATTTAATGCCAATAATAGATATCCGGACCTTGATAAATTGATAGATAGCTTGTCATTCATACCTCGATATAAAGATATACAGGGTATCCATAAAGTTCATGTGCACTGTAAAAAAAAAATTAGAACTTTATTTGTATTTGCGATAGAAATAATTTGTAAAAAGGATTAGAAAGAAGTAAATCTATATTTTTTAAAGGTTTTGAGTTTTATAGAAAACTAGGTACATTAAACTTTGTAAAGTTTTTTTTTACAGATTATTACTATCGCAAATACAAATAAAGTTATAATTTTCTAAGTACACACGAACTTTATGGACACTCTGTATATGTTAATATTACACCTTGACAAACAAATAGATAGCTTGATAGTCACACTTCGACATATAGATAGATATTCTGATATTCCGACCTTAGAGGCTCTTGCATGTACTTTAGCAGAGCTTAATCGTGGCGTTGGGTTAAGTTATGAAAAGGATTTTTGTTAAAGATACCGATTTCTGAAGGCTCTTATGGTTATAATATTTTCGTCTTATTTTGCAGATGCTTCCGCATTTCAACATGAAGTGCTCCACTCTGAGTCTGCTTCCGTAAGAGTGTTTATATATATATACACACACACACACACATATATATATATATATATATATATTGAACTCGCGAAAGAAATTCCTCTAGATCAACTTAGAAATAAAAAGAAACGTAACATGGAGCCAACTCTAGCATATGTCTCAACATACAACAAAAACAATCCAGAAATATTCACAGAAATTACAAAAAATCTAGACTTACTTAGCAAGAATAATAAACTGAATAATATACTAAAAACAACCAAAATAATTAAAAGCAAACGCCAATCTAGAAACCTAAAACACATATTAACCTCATCTAAATTTAACCAACACACAATACAGGGAGTCACAAAATGCAACAAAAAAGATGTGGGGTATGTGACATAATTATAGGAGAAAACTCCTACACTTTTGAAAACCAAAAAAAATATTCACAATAAATAAAAACTTAAACTGCAACTCCAAAAATGTAATTTATGTACTTAAATGCACAAAATGTAAGAAGTCATATATAGGCATCAGTCAACAACTGAACAACAGGGTCTCCCTACACAAAAGCAATATAAAATTGAGAGACAACAAAAAAACTTTTTGTAACCAGGGTAAATTTAATATCATGCCGATATATCAAACAGACAATTACTTATACCTACAAATACAAAAAAAACAACTTTATAAACAAATTTAAACCCGAACTAAATAGATCATAACCCCACACACAAAAGCACACAACATGCACGCAAGGTGACCAAATACAATGATCAAATCACTCACATACATGAACGCACGCTCATATACGGGAGACACGAGGATATATATATATATATGTATGCACTCATTTATATATATATATATATATATATATATATATATATATATATACGCATGTTGACAAAACAGGGGAAATACTCATGAGCACGCACCCAAACCTCACACAACTTAGGAAGTACGTGTGTGTGTATGTGTATGTACGTATGTGTGTGTGTGTATGTGTGTATGTGTATACTGGTTCCATGTAGCTTGGGAGGTATGTGTGTGTGTGTGTGTGTATGTGTGTATGTGTATGTGTGTGTATGTACTGATTCCTTGTGGTGGGATGGTGTGTATGTGCGTATGCGTGTGTATGCGTGTATATGTAAAAATGAGTTTACTAATAGTAAGACAGTATATGTATGGAGGGGGAATATACGCACGCATATATACACGCATGCTGACAGAAACACACAAAAATGGAAACAGATCCAAGAACACACAGGGGTCAGTAAAACATTAAAATATAAAATGCCGATAAGCAATTCATCATCTCGCTTGGACCAACCTTAATTGTTTTATGACCCTTCGCGCAGAACACTTCACTGCCAATTCAAGAAAGAAATTCGAATTACTAACACAAAAACAGAAAATGTCTCATATCGAGAATATTTAACATTGAAAAACATAAGGAAAAAATTAATTATTTTTAATAATATGTGAAAATCTCCGCTTTTACCTGAAGACGGTGACGAGACCAGAAACCTCTGTAGTAAAATTATGGAAAACAAAGCATAATATTTTTTTTCTAAATAAATCCACATTACAACCAAAAACGTTTGCGGCACCTCTCTTCTCTTCTTTTTAATATACACACTTTTCTCTCGTTGGAACCACTACAACCTCTTTCTTTTTATATATATATATATATATATATATATATATATATATATATATATATATATATATATATATATATATATATATCCATCCATCTCTTCTAGCGATGGAGGGTACTCAATTTAATGCAAATAACATTGACTAAAAACAACAATAATATTTTCCCGTGACTAGGAAGTGTAACTGAGTCCGTTTCAAATGATTCTCAGTACAAATGTTTAATAAGAATGTTTAATAAGAATGTTTAATAGAGAAAAATTAACAATATTAATCTCCAATATAATAATAGATATAATATATAAATTTGAAATGTACAATATTATTTTTTTATTATTGCTTTGAAAAATTATTTTATCAGGATTTTGGCTAGTTTAAGACTATTGTCGTCCACACAAACCAACGATTTAGCAAATGTGCAAAAACACCAGGAAGAGGCAGTTGAAATGTCCAAGTCACATAATGAGGAAAGATGGCTTGAAAAATTTGATACTCATGCGATAGATTGAAGACAAAAAGCGACAAAAAGATCACTTTTTTTTAAGAACTAAAAAGGACAGGAAATATGAAACGCCATGATCGCCAACGCGCTGTAGGGACACAGTACATAGCAAAAGAAGAATATGCAGTTATTAAATTGGTTGTTAGCGAATCAAGTACAAATTACAGCGTTGTCTGTTCTCTTCCTCTTTCGTAAAAACATCATTGGAAAAAGCATGAACTCCCACTTTCTATTCACTGCCACTTATTGGTGAAGCCTCTCTTTACAACTAGTATGAAATAATAAAAACTACTGATTCAAAACCCGTCCTGGATAAGACGATAAACTACATCCAACAGCAACGCCTCTGAGCAGAAGGTTTTGAGCAGCGTGGAACCACCTATTAATTGCTGGCGTTCCCAGGTCCACCTTGACCAGGGGTGGTAGCACCTGTTAGGGTCCCAGCTATGGGCAAATATTTGACACCCAAACTTGTGCAAAAATAGGTTTTAATACCAGAAATACTTTGTAATAAAAAGAATATTACCAGCAATAAGGAAAAATTATTATCAACAATACTTTTTTTAAAAAAGTACCAGCAATACAAACAGCTATACATTCTTTGGAAAAATAATACCAGCTATAGATTTCTTCAAGGAAAAATATTACCAGAAATAGATTTTTGAAGAAAAATATATTACCAGCAATAAAAAATTTGTCGGTATTAAATAACCCATTGTGGTTGATATGCCGTAAAACAAACCAAACCAAACCGAATATACTGATTCAAAACCACGTAGAAGGCAATAGGGAAACACTTTGTCACTTTCCCCAAGAATGCATGACAATAAGAAAATATATATCTTTGAGAGAACGGATCGCTTACATACTGAAAGGCAATGATAAATATGCGTTTTCCTAGATAACTTACATTTTTATTTAGCAGTATACAATATATGACACGTTCAGCGGAGGAGGAACGTATTCAACATTTCATAATTTTGCGGCAATACGCGTTGAAAGGTTTTAGGCAGTTTTGATCAATATTTCTTTTCATGGTTAGCCGTAAGGAATTGTAAATGTAGAACTACCTTACGCTTAAGTAAAACAAATTAATAAAAATAATATTAATTTTTATACCATATTCGATTTGTTGTTAGGTATTTTTTATTTTCTCCTTTGTTAAGGGCAGCATTTTAGAATACTTTGGCTGCAATGCTAAGTTTCCTAACTTGAACAAACTGGAGCTATTTCCTTTACGCTTTGTTACCTCTTTTTTCCATTATTCTTTTTAGATCGCTTTCTTCCAGTCATTTTAATGGGTGAAATTCTGAAATTTAGAATGATTTTATTTCATTTAAAAAATAAAAACTTTAAAAAGGAATATTTTAAATTCATATGCGACCAGAAATAAAATACTTTTGACAAAAAATAAAACAAAACAAAAACTTAATTATTTCACTATAATTATGTAACAATAATGTAATGATATTCCGCAGATAAATCTACGGTTTATGTTACCTCATCTCATTACATGGTTACAAACTATAAATCTATGTTGAGCGTGAAATATTGTGCAATCTAATTTTTATATTAAATACTTGGATAAGATATAATGAATAATTTGCAGTGAAAAGAGCAATTTACTATTTTTTGTTGAATACGCCCCTCCTCCACCATATTTTTTAATAAATCTAGATTTTATATGAAATAACACTACTTTACAGCCATATCATTTTGAAACACCGGTTCTCGTACGATCATCAAAGTTAAGCAACTTTGAGCCTGCTCAGTACCTTGATGGGTGACCGCTTGAGAATATCAGGTGCTATAAGCTGGGATATAAGGTTGGTGTGATAGATAACAGCCCGTAATTTGAAATAAGACAGCTGAGTTCCAGTACTAGTCACTTGAGCAAATAAAAGAAAAGTATGAATCCAACTCTTCTTCCGCCAGCAATGGGTTAATTAGTGAGACTTGTATCAGTAAAAAGCACTATCACAAGCAAAAACGATCTTCATATTTACAAATATTTATTCCCCACCCCCACGTTGGGCACCTCGGCGTAGTGTAATGGTTAGCAAGCTTGTCTCGCTAAAACTATTGTGACTGAGTAGTGAGTTCGATCCTCACTGGGTGTCCCTTATTTTCGGTCTTGTGCCATACCCAAGCTACGCTTAAAAAATAGCTAAAACACCTCGGCGTGATGGTTAGTAAGTTTGACTTGCTAGATAAGTTACAACTGAAAGGTGAGTTCAATCCTCACTAGATGCCCCATACTTTCGGCCTTGTGTCACATCTAAGCTACGCTTAGAAAATCAGTATATTTATTTCCCGTTTTGTTCGAATATTACAAATAAAATAACAAACGGAAACCAAGTCAAATAAAGTCTAGTTGAGTTTCAAGAAAATAACTTGAAAATATATGACAACGATGCCACATGAAACTATTCACAAAATTTCAGTTTATGTCCCGAGCGACGGCATTCATTTATTTTGTCAAAATGTAATTTAATAAATACCATAAAACGCTCTTTTTAATGAAATATACGAAAACCGTTTCTAATTTTGGAACGTGTGAAACAACTTGGAAACAATTTTAAAACGTTTAAGACGTAATTATAAAGAACACTTCAAATATTTGATTAGTAACAATTAAAGAGGCAGTACTAAAAAGGCTCCATATTTTTATGTATAACCTTTTGTTTAATGAAAAAAACTAAAAAAATATCGTCGGTAAGAATTAAATTATTCAATTAGAAAAATAAAATTCCACTCTTATATTCTACTTTTGAATCGTTCTTCGCATATCTAATTTTACTTACTGCAATTTTTGGAAATGTGACGTGGCTTTTAAAAATTTATGAAATATAGAATGTTTGAAGACAGATACGCCATAGGAAATATTGATTTGTTTTTTTTTTTTTGGGGGGGGTTACAATCTGTCTATATTTCTGACATGAGGTATTATGTACATTATTTACATTATTGTCCTGATCTTTGTTGCCATATTTATTACAACGTTTTAGGCCCTTCAGTATCTGTCTATATTTCTGAGATGAGGTATTATCTACACTATTCGGATAGTCGTTATATTTATTAGCAGAGTTCCACGTGTCATGTTTAATGGATGTCAGTTTTCAGTTATCTTCTGTTAATTCCCCTCTCCAAGTTCTCCACCGCCTTAGCCAAGTATTGAACTCATACTCTTTGGGTCCTGTCATTGGATCTAACTAACGCCTTTATCCACTGTGCCATCTGTGTATGAATTTCTGGATATTATAAACCTAATGTCTTCAGCAACAATTTTTTTACCAGTGCCCATATTACAATTTTTGCTGTTATCATTTCATGTTTTTACCAGAGCTCATATTGCAATTTTTGTTGTCATTATCGCTTTTCTCGGGCACTCCTTATTACTCGTTCCCATATCGTATTCATTTCTATGTTTGGTCGGATCAGGAGATTTTTGTGGTCTAGCATATGTGCTGATTCCTCATGTTTACGAATTTCCCAATGGTGTTCTTTGTCTATCATCTCAACCTGATACCACAGAGGGCGGTGATCTCCCTTCTCTCTCCATATGTGGTCAGCCACGCCTGATTTTTCCACTTCCCCTCGTGTTAGAGCTTTCTGGTGTTCTTGAAGCCTTACCTTAAGGTGGCGGCCTGTCTCGCCTTTATATTTCTTTCCGCAACTGCATGTTGTTTAAAGCAAGAAAATATTTTTAGCGGTAATGATTTAGTGATACAGATTTTACTAATTAACCCATAGCTGGGGGGAAGAAGAAGTGGATTCATATGTTTCCTAAAACTGTTTCCGCGTAAGTAAATATAACGAACCCAACTGCAATTAGAACTCGGCCCTCCGATTACAACTTGCAGGCCATTATTCATTACACCGGCCTCACATACAGTATTACATCACCTGATATTTCCAACCCATCAACCATCTAGATACTGACTAGGCTCGACGTTGCTTAACTTCGGTGATCGTACAGGAACTGGCATTTCAACGAGATGTGGCATTAAGTCTAAGAGATAGAAGAGAAATAGTAATAAAAGAAATTAAATGTTTACATATCTGTCCATATTCTAAATTTTATGGGGATCACATCCACTCTTTGTTCGATCGAGAGCAACATATATCTCTGTTGTGAGAGTGAGCATTTGATTTTATCTATTCTTATTCGATAGATAGATAGATAGATAGATAGATAGATAGATAGATAGTGTGACGAAAGAGATGACTTACCTCAGAATTCGAAACGAGCGCGAACGTGTCTTGCCTGCAAAGTGATGACAAAAAGAAATCTCTGCATGTACAACTTTTGGTTTTATTGCCTATTTCGTTTTCTTTTTGTCAAGTGTCGAATTTTGTTCAGCACCCTGTACAAGATTAAAATAATTGATATTCCCAAACAATCACCCATACAGGGGATGTCCACCTTCGACGTTGCTTAACTTCGGTGATCGTACGGAAACCGATATGTCAACGTGTTGAGGATGTGACTGAGCCGCTCAACCAACGAATATGATATAAACGATTTAATATTTTTTGTAAGCGCGGTTGTGTTGTTCTGAGTAACTGTCCTACAATTATCTCCCTTATCTCCCTAAAAGTTTCCTAATAAGGAATTCATTATTTTACTTATTGTAGGCAATGATTTTAATGTTTTTAATAGTTTGGTTACCGTTGAGGTTTCTCGATGTCCGATGGCGTTTTATCTCTCACGACAGCTAAGCTAAACCTGTGTTACACCTAAAGGTATACATGCTCATTGAATCAGGAGATTTGAAAAGGGGAGGCAAAAGAAACATATTTCCAAGGAATTCCTTTTTTTCTTTTTATGTGCCATGTCCTTTCAGGACGTAAGCCATCAGGGTTCTCTATCTCCCTCTATCCGTTACAGCTTTTAACAAGTTCCTTCCCTCTGCCATCTTCTCCAGAGCACGTTCTGTCATCCACTTGCTCAAGCCCGCTAGGTATTCTATGTGTTGTTTTCCTTTGTCTCTCCTTCCCTTTATTCGACCCGTGAGTATCAGATTCTACAAGCCCCCTTCCTCATTGTGTCCCAGAAGGTTCAGCTACCACTTCCTGATGTTAAGTACAAGCCTTGTTTGCATCCTCTCTAAGACTATTTTTGCTCACACCCTCGGTTCATGATATCTTTAGCATCCTTCTGTAGAACTGCATCTCCGTCACCTCGAGTTTCTTCTTCATCTTTGAGGAAATTGTCCAACATTCGCTGCCGTAAAAAAGGACAGATAGCTCAGTATTCTTTGCTTTGTCTCACAATACTCTGTCCAGGTTTTGGAATGCGTCCTTGGCCATCCCAATACGTCTACGGATCTCAGTGTCGCACTTACCATCCTCTGTCAAAATGCTTCCCAGATATTGAAACTGCCGCGTCTTCTTGATTGTAGTGTTCACGACTTGCAAATCGTATTTCGGACTCATTCTATTACTGATAACCATGCATTCTGTCTTCTAGTTTATGCTTAGTCCCTTGTTCTCATTCTCCATCGCTACCTTCTGAAGGAGATTTTGTAGTTTCTTTTCCGTGTCTGCTATCAGTACTGTCATCTGCGTATCTTATGTTGTTACGATTGTGGCCGCCAATGCTAAATCCCGGTAGGGTTTCCAGTTTCTCAGAATTGCCTCGCTGTATAGGTTTAACAGGTCGCGTGAGAAGATGCATCCTTGCCTTACGCCCCTTTCTATGTTTGTATATTAGATGACATCGTTCTCTATGCTCATGCATGCTGTTTACTGCCAGTATAGGTTCTTGATTATTCTAATATCTTTCCCGAATATCAAGGTTGCTGAACAGTTCCAGCAGATCTTTGTGGCATAATTTATCGAAGTCCTTTGAAACATAGGCACACATCCTTAAGAGTATTTAAAAAAAAAATGTAGCAAAACAACGCATGTGACTAAAGCCGGTCTAATGTATGATTTTTATTTTGAAGGATAATTTTTTTTTATACGACAATATTTACTAGCTCACTAACCAAATTTCTAAGGGTTAGTTAATTTCTAGGTAAGTACCATTTTATTTATCATTTAACTCATTGCTCTGCCATAGAGGCTTACAATAGATTTTTCGGGGCAAATAGCGTATAAAGCGAAGTTAAAGCTTTGTTCTGTTTTCAGGTTAGACTAAGCTTTAAATTTCTGCATCGTGGCAAGCTAAGGATAAGTACTTCTATAAATTGAGTAGGCAACGAAAAAACACTCAAATATATATGTTTAAATAATGTGTCATTTCCCAGATAATAAAAGAAAATTAATTTATGCTATTCATCTCAGAATATTTTTTCTTCTTAATCTATACAGAAGGTTCTGCAATACAGTCGATTATATGCGGCATCCGTCTCCAGTCACTTTCTCATCGATATGACGTCGCTTCCTCTGTCTTTCTACAAATATTTTCATGTCAACTGCTTTCCATCACATTCCCATCCAATCGTATTTCATTAGTAAGACGGAAGTTCCATTCTGACAGCTTCTTCCCAAGAATCGCTACTTTGTGGAACATGCTTTCCCACTCATTAAAATGGATACCGTCTAGGAATGAAAAAAAACAACAAAAAAAAAACAAAAAAAAAGAAAACGGCCAGCCGTATTCAAATTCCATTCGAATCCGTTGTGAAAGGTATAAATCCATCGCTTCACTCCAGCTTGTGGTTAATAAGCAAAACATATACCTGTAAAAATCTTTGTTCTCAAAAATGTTAATGCAATATTCACTCGCAAATTTAAAAGTAGAAAAAAAAAACAAAGACATTATTACAATCCGACATGCATTTTGGCTTTAAATAACGCCCTAA